TGACCACTTAATTATACCAAGTTCTTTCAGCACGTGTACGATGCTAAAATTACTTTGGAACCTGAGCTTGTATGCATTAGTATTGGCTTTTTTGTATAACTTTTTAACGATAGTTTGAGGCCTAATTCGAGCTCAGAGCTGAATAAAGCTATGGGGCATTCAGTCAGTAATTCTACTAGTAACTCGATGTTTAATTTGAAGGATCAATTCATAAAAATTAATAAAAAATTATTTGGTATTATATATAAAATATTCATAGTAACCCCTATCAAAAAATAATCTTCCATTTTAATCTCTACTTAAAAACAAAGGATATGAAAGATTTTCAAGATGAAATTAAATGAATCATTTTAAAAACAACCCGTCCCATTGGATTTTTTTATCACCTGACTCTACCCCAAACCTGATTGTGGTGGGACTGCATACGAGATTGGAATAGGTCGGCAAGGGGCATGTCTCTTATGCCTTTTACCGTCCCATTTATTATTATAAGTTATTTTATTCTTTACTTTTATTTTTTTATGTCCTTAGTAAAAATTATTACCTATTTTTTCAACTAGTTAAAAAAAACAACTCATGTTTCCTTTTAAAAAAAAATGATAATTCTTTTCTTTTTATTTGATAAAAAACTTAAATTTGAATAAATTTAAAAAGGGATGGGAAGCAGGATGGGATCATGTTTCTCGTACCCACTTCAGGGAAATGACTATTGGCAGCTCATTTAGTTGATTAGAAACGTAATCATTGCCGACCTTGCAGGCATCGAGTTTAATAATCTTTTTTCCATCCCTAAAAGAAATAGAGGTGAGAAAGTAATTAAAAACATTAAAATAACCTAGGAAACGTTGAGATGTGTCTTGTTATAAATAATATTTAAAAACATTAAAATAATTTGAACTAGCCTATGAAATCGAACCTTGAGAACTAGCATAAAATGTTTGGAAAATTAGAGTTTATGTTAGGATTTCTAAAACTTTGGATGTGATTTGTTACCGTAATTTTTTTTTTAATTATGATTCGCATTTTCGAAACTATAAGTTTTTTTTTTTTTTCTTTTTTCATATGATTTAGAAATAATTTTAGTTTAGTTTAGATATAGGGTAAGAACATGTGTTGTGAACTTGTTAAACCATGGAATAATAATGATGAACCTAATTTATTCTTTATGATTATTTTCAATGAGCTGGTCATAATTTGTATTGCTAAATTGGTAATTTTTTATTTTTTATTTTTTTGCTGAAAAGTGAAAACTGTAAAATTTATAAGTTAATAAAATTAATATTTTAATTAAAAAATTTTAAAAACGATTCGATTTGGTTTTGTGCAGTTTTTGAAAATCGAAACTTAAACCAAACCATTTTGAAATAGTTTGGTTCGATTTGAGGGGAAAAAACGCGGGTCTATGTGGACCCAAACCAATGGTTTCAAATCAACTGTTTTGGTTCGATTTGCGATTTTACGATTTTTTTTGTACAGCTCTAAAGGTGATGAATCAAATCGAATCGAAAAGAATACATGAAAAGAAAGTTAACGATTGATTGTGTAAATAAAAAGAGATAAGTGTTAGAATTCTCAATCAACAACTTAAAATATCTAGAAAAGAAACCAAAATATTAGCCCTCATTCTCTTTCTCATTCTTATTTTTAACCACATAATCTTTCATAAAATAATATTACACGCAAATCGAAAACATTTCAATCTTTTTCAATCACACATTTTTCATAAAAACACTATCCCAACAATTAAAATTTGGAAAAAATTGGGGCAAAACAAGGGCTTAATCAACCATACCATGCCCCCGTTTGACCTCCATTACATGAAAATGGAAATGGAGGGAATAGTATTTTTTAGAAAAATTAGTGGTTGAAAAAGAAGGAAATTTTTTTGATTTACATGTAATATTATTTTATAGAAGATTGTGTAGTTGAAAATAGGAGAGAGAAAAATGAAATGTAATGTAATTGAATTTAATAGGGATCAAATGGGGGCCATATGTACATCATAGAGAACATTAAGTTTAACATTCTTTCATGTGGCAACTTTCTACCTCATTAATTTCAAACACATCATTGCAGGTTAGATTTCTTTCACATGGGCAGAATGTCAACAGAAATGTACATCTAACTTTATTCAAATTTAATTTCACTCCTAGGTACTAGTATTGTACAAGAATTTTTTTGTGTGAATTGAAAAAATCAATCTCTCTGCTGACCGACTTTTATATTGTAGGAAGGAATTTATATATTTCAGAGTCTCAAACTGCTGCCAATGATCCAGTGATTAATATTTCGAAATTTTAGTACAAGTTTTAATTTCTTATATCCAACATATTGACATTGATAAATATGTGAAAATATTGAATGTAATTTTAATACTACAATTTGCAAGCATTTAATATTGTAACTTAGTATGAATATGCCATCATGTTCTTGACAATTTACTAAAAGTATTAATTTATAATTTTACACATTTTGCAAGCATATAATTAAGTCCCTATTTGGTGGGAATTAAAGTTTGAATTTTAGTAAATTTTGATAAAAAAAAATTTGAAATGTGATTAAAAAGTTGTGAAACACGTAAAAGATATTATTAATATTGATTATTTGATTTAAATTAAAATCTGATTTAAATTATTACCAAAAAGTGGGCTATATTGTAACTCGCAAGTATTTCTAAATAAAATAGTAGGTGTAATGAATATTAAATCTAATTATAATACAACAACTTGCCATCTCATAATGGCGTGTTAGAAAATGAAAATTTTAATACGCCAACTTGCCATATTGGTAAGCAACTTGTCAAGTGCTGTGAGAGAAAATGAAAATTAAGCCCTCGTTTAGCCCCTATTACTTGGATTTATATTGGGGGAATAGTGTTTTTTAGAAAATTGTGTGGCTGAAAAGTTTTAGATTTGAGTGTAATATTATTTGATTGAAGATTATGTGGTTGAAAATAAGATAGGAAAAAGATTAAATTAAATTGAAGAGTTTTACAGGGGCAAACGGGGGGCTTGAAAGGAGCGTTTCAAAAAGTTGGCAGACAAGTGACTAATCCAAATAATTGGGGAATAGTATTTTTTATTTTTTAAGATTGTGTGGTTGAAAAGTTTTCGATTTGAGTGTAATATTATTTGATTGAAGATTGTGTGGTTAAAAATAATAGAGAGGAAAAATTAAATCAAATTAAAGAGTTTTAAGGGGGCAAACGGGGCTTGAAAGTTGGCAGACAAGTGATTGCAAGTATTTCTTCAAAACATAGTTGTTGAAAGTACACCTCCACTATTTATCGAAATGAACAAAATTAAGCCCCCATTCTCATTTTCATTCTCATTCTTTTTCTTTCTCTTATTTTTAACCACACAATCTTCTATAAAATAATATTACATACAAATCAAAAACTTTTCATTCTTTTTCAATCACATATTTTTCAAAAAAAAAAAATTACTATTCCAACCATTAAAATTTGACAAGAATGGGGGCCAAACGGGGGGCTAAGCATGAAGACTAATTTGTCATGATGCCATCCAGGATTAAGGAAAAAATTGTACTAACCGCGTAAGTACCTATATATTTACATGTTTCCAGTTTTCTCCTAATTTTTCATGCTTCTCTTTTGTTAATTTTCTCAAATCAGGTTCATCCATGGTCACGGGATATTCTGCTGTGGTCTATTTTGTAAGATATACTCTTAAGTACTAAGAACATTTAAAAGAGACTTTCTGTAAATAGAGGTCATCTTTAAATTTAAATTTAGAGACATAATTTTTTTTTTTATGTACACCAACAATAATTTCTATATTGACCCATTATTTATTTATTTATTTATTTTATCAACTTTTATTGATGTCTTCTCATCTCTTATTTAATATAATTTTTATATATTAATTGATGCTTCCAGATCTCTTATTTAGCCCTCGTCTGATCCTCACTTTTACCAAAAACGCATTTTATACATCACATCAATGTTGGACCATGTCAATATTATTATTATTATTTCCTTTGAATTCCAATTGTCTAAAATTACTATTATATCCTTTTGTCCTTATAAGAATCTGTTCACATGCTAACCATTCAAAAAGGACAAAATTAGGAAATTGGAAAGACCAATACATTGTTGAAGTCACCGATACATTGTCAAAAAGTGGATGGGCAACATTCAAAAAATTAATTTTGGAGCCAAAATATTGGGAAACAAACATAATCTTAATATAACTTTTTATATATTAATGGTTAATCAATTTGAATGTAATTCGAATAATTTAATTGGTATGGTATTGAAATTTATAATTTATTAAATTCAATAATTGTTATGGTTCCAGCCGTAGATGCATAAGCCATCCTCAAATCCCTATAAATCAGATTTGTGGGGTTATTTTAAAGGGGCATTTTTAAGAATGTCCAATTTTAAGTGTACAAGTTGAAAAGTGTCAACTCATTTGAATTTAGTGCCAACTTATCTATTATTCTCTTAATGAAAAATTACATTTTGAAATGGTATTCTCGATATTTGATTTTTTTTATCAATTTGTCACGAATTTTGAAAAGTGACTTCCATGAGAAGTTACATTAAAATAATGTTTCTCGACATTTCATATGTTATTCTCGACATTTGAACACCGTTTTATTTGTCTAGAATAACATTTCATTTTGAACATGGCATTTCTCTATATTTAAAAATATTGTTCTCGACATTTCTGAATCAATGAAAAACATAACATTTATTGTGATTTGAGATGTATACTTTTTGAAATAAATATGACAGATTATGTGTCAAAATTTTATTGGCTAATAATAATATTGTAAAAATGTATATATATATATTTTTTATCTTAGTGTGGAATTATAAATTATTAATAAGGGTAGTTTAGTTTAGATTCTTTCAAATTAGATATTTTTACAATGATGAACACTTTTACAAATCTTAGGTAAAAATGGATATTTTGTGAAATTTCCACAATTTTAAAATGGAGCTATTTCCTCTTCCTTTCCTTGTGGCTTTTTGCATCTAATCAGTATTATATGCTTTACTTTCTCTCTCATGTAAATAATTCACGGAGTCTAGTCTCCTCTGCCCAGTGCCCACACAGTTCATCAAAACAGTTCTTGTGAAAGCATCTGCTTGTTTGATTCGGAAAGGTTGTTCTACTTATCTTTGTACCGATTGTATTAAACTTTGAAGCCCACCAGTCTGAACAAAAGTGTAAAATTTGTCCCCTGAATTTGTTTATCGCCATGATTTAGAGTCTGAATTTCTGACTCAAGATTATATCTGCTCACTTTAGGAAAATTGCTGTATTTTCTCACCTCTATTTTTTTGTTATTCAGTCTCTGTAAATTGTTGCATTTAAATATTGCATTCATCTTTTTCGTGTAGGTAAAGAAAATGGTTATCATGCTTTGTAATTGGGTGTCTATATTATTTAGCAAGAAAATCCAATGACTTAAATTCACGAACAAAGATTATCTGTTCGTTATGACATAAATAAATGTTTTTGATGTATTAGTAATTGACTTCAAGAGCATGGTTGAAACATGATTGTAACTTGTTAACAATTTTTTTTTTGTTTAAATGATGACTGACAAAATATTATATCTGCAGTACCTAATCTAAAATTATCCTAGATCACATCTTCATTAGAAATTTGATCCATAATCTTACTAAACAAAAATCCTTGAACTTTTGAATGTAAGTTTGTTTGTTTTTTTTTTTTTTTTTTTAATCTCAAAATTAATATTATTTACTTACCGAATTGGAAGAACATAAGCTAATTAATTAATGTTGCTAAAATCAGTTTGATTGATGAGTAGAATAGACACACACACACACACACACACAAAAAAAAAAAAAATTAATCAATATTTAACACTATTTTTAATTGAACCCATCCTTGTGAAAACAATTCAAACAGATTCTTAATTTGATTTGGAAAGGTATACCTGCTGATCCTTGTATAACATAGATCTTGTTTGATTCAACTAAAAATTAGAATGAAATTCCAGATAAAAGTCAACAATTAACTAATGAAAAAACACTAAAACTTATTCTGCTGTTCATATGTTTGGTATCTACCCTGAACGTATATTAAAGAAAATCTCTAAAAGTATAAAAGAATGGTTAAGTTTCTATTTGTAGAACGACAGAAATAGATTCAGCAGAAAAGAAAATGTGGGTGTTGTAGGATGTGTAATTCAATGTTGTGATTTTCTTGTTGAAGAATATTAGTTAAGCGCCTACAAATTTTTTTTTTTGAACAAAATAATCGAACGTATGCTGAATTCTCTCTCTCATCGGTATTAATGCTTGTCCATTCAAATGACAGAAAAGGGCGTGGAATGGCTCCTTCCATAAACAATCTGAGGCGGCTTCTGGAATATCGATCCAAGAACGAAAGGCTTGAAATGTTTGATGGGCAGGGACGACTCGTTCTAGCAGTTACCCACTACATATTAAAATTATGCTCCGAAGATGACAAAATTATTGCTTCATTAGAGCGTCTTGACGATTCAGCCAAGCTTTGCTGGGGTCACAGTCGTCATACTGATGAAGATAGGAACTTCTTCATCTTGTTCAAATCCTTTATGGCAGAGCTTAAAGAATTTTTTCATGTCCCGAAGGCTAGGAGCACGCAGTATCATAATGAACTTGTTGCAGCCTTTATTGACCTTCTCTTAGAAATCTTTGAAGAAATACTTCGTCTTCAGCCATATTTCATTCTTCGCTCCAAGGATTCTATTAAAACTCTTAAGATGGACCTTAAATTTCTTATCACCTTTCTTGGAGATATACCATCACGGTCCACTGGGCTCGAGACAACAAAGAATGTGTTGACAGATATTGAAGCTGTGGCCAATGACATAGGGAGTTTCTTATATTCCTTCTTTTTCACCACAGATAGAGTGTCTGTGGCTAGAATGTATCAGGCTCTTTTTGATTTGTTAGGAACTGCAGGACTCGTGAAAGAAAAAATCAAACAGCACTGCATCACAGCCCCGAATCTATTGCCAGGTAGTGTGACCCCAAAGACTGCTGTGGTTTCTCTGTTTCTTGTTGATTCTCTCCTTGATGATCTCAGGGATCTAATAAGTCACAAGGATGACAGGATTGTTGATGTGAAGGATGAAGCTATAACAATCCATGATGAGTTAAAGTTATTACGGACCTTGCTTGCTGAGATAGAGGTGGAAAGGTATCCAGAACTTGAAGAATTCTTGATACAAATTAGAGACATAGCATACGAAGTTGAATACATTATCAACTCATTTGCTCCTGTGTGGTACCTCACTATCCGGCTTCCTCAAGTCCATGAGAAGATAAAGCTTATTAGGATGCTACTCCAAGACATGAAGAAGAAGTATGATTCTGGAATGCTAAAGGGTGCACAATATCCAAGTCTGCGAGCACCATTACAATATCCTCCGATTGGTGAAGAAATTGTTGTTGGCTTGGAGGATGAAGTAATCAAAATCAAAGATCAACTTACTAGAGGGCCAGAATACCTACAAATTATTTCCATTTTTGGGATGCCTGGATTAGGTAAAACAACTTTGGCAAAGAAACTCTATAATGATCCCGCTATTGTTTTTCATTTTTACAAGCGTGCCTGGTCTGCTGTCTCTCAAACTTATCGACGGAGAAATATTTTGATTGACATTTTGACATCAATGAGTGGACTTAACAAAGACGCAATCATGGACATGGAGGATGAAAGTTTGGGTGAAAAGCTTTATAAAAGTCTAAAGGGGAGGCGTTACTTCATCGTCATGGACGATATTTGGAATGTAAACGCATGGGATGATATGAAAAGATACTTCCCAGACGATAGAAATCGAAGCAGAATACTATTCACCACTCGGCATGAAAATGTGGGTTTCCAAGCTTCAACTCCTGCAGTTGTTAATTCTCTTCGTTTCTTGACAGGTGATGAATGTTGGGAGTTACTGAAGTGGAAGGTGTTCCACAAAGAGCCTTGTCCTGAAGAATTGGTAGAAATTGGAAAGCAGATCACGGCAGATTGTGATGGATTACCACTTGCTGTAGTTGTTATAGCTTCAGTTCTTGCAAATTTGGAGAAGAAAAGGACCATATGGAAAGAAGTTTCTCAAAGCATAAGTTCACACATGTCTAAAGGGCCAAATGAGTACCAGAATATACTGGAACTTAGTTACAGTCATTTACCAATGCATTTGAAACCATGTTTTCTTTACTTTGGGGTATTCGAGGAAGATAGGGAAATCCCAGTCCGGAAGTTGATATTGCTTTGGGTCGCTGAAGGATTCATAGAGAAAAGAGAACACAGGAGCTCTGAGGATGTGGCACAGGAATACCTGGCGGATCTCATTAATAGGGGCCTAGTACTGGTTGCTAAAAGAAGATCCGACGGTGGAGTCAAAGCTTGCAGCATACATGATCTATTGCGTGATATGTGCTTGAGAATAGGAGAAAAAGATCAATTTATGAAGGTGATCCAAAAGTAAGCTCTCTCTTCCCTCCACCCCCCTCCCTCCCTCTCGCTCTTCCTTTTATTTATTTTTAATTTTCTGTATTATTGTACTAATGGAGTTAACAAATGTTGTTATCATGTCAACGTTGCTGCTGTTGCTGATGATGTTTTGACAATATCATCATGTTATCACTGAATGCTATATTGTGGATCTTCAGTCAAATTTCAATATATGAGCAACACCATCGCCTAAGCATTCACTCTCACTCTTATCCTTCTGTCTCTAGACCTTTTGGGCTACATGTTCGCTCTCTGCTAGGCTATTTACCCGATCCCTCCGCATTCATCATTTACAACTTGAAACTTTTGAAGGTATTGGATATGTCAACAATAGATTTGAGAATGCATAATCCAACAGGAGTTGAGGTGTCGCTTCTTTTAAAGTTCTTGGCAGTTTCATCTATACCGTCATCGTCAATAGAGATATTTGAGAACCTAAATTTTCTTTTTGTGGATAATAAAGAGGTAGATGAAATACCGGAGATCCTTTTTAATATGGTGAAGTTGCGCCATGTACATTTCAGCGGTGGGGCAAAATTCAGTGAATCTTGGCGTAAGCGAGCAGCTATGGGTGACAGCTTCCAAATAAATAATCTAGAAAATATTTCTTCCATTTTCATTAATGATGAAAATGATGAAAAAATCTTGAAGTGTTCGCCCCATCTCCGAAGGCTAAAATGTAGATGTACATTCTTTTGGGATTCAACCGAGAACAACTATCGCTATCCTTCCTTCAACTTCCTTAATCAGCTTGAATCCCTCAATATATCTTTCCGCCCTAGTTATATTTCAGATGATGCTATTCCCGATTTGACCAATTTACCCTTGAATCTGAAAAAGCTAACACTCCGTAACTTTGATTTATCTTGGAAGCAAATGAAGATAATTGAGGAATTAACCTACCTTGAGGTTCTCAAGTTACGAGATGATATCTTTGAGGGGAAACAGTGGAACACAAGTGAAGGTGGATTCCAAGAACTCAGATTCTTGGAGCTGGATGGGGTACAAATTGAACATTGGAATGCCTCAAGCGATGATTTCCCCAAACTTGAATGCCTGGTGTTACGAAGCTGCCAGCATTTGGATATCCCTTCCAGTATAGGGGATATTCTCTCTCTCTCAAAGATTGAGGTACATGGGTGTGTAAAATCAGTGGAAGAGTCAGCCTACAAAATTCAGGAGCAACAAGTAGAAGAAACGGGAAATGAAGAGCTTAAAGTCATTATCTCCCGCTCCCAGCAGTAATGGAAAGTACATCATTTTCTGGAGGTATATCCAACAGTTCTTATTTATTTACTTGATGGATTATGAGCTGTTTCTTTATTTATGTTATTTTTTTGGCAGAGTTTTCTTGGAAACATTCAGGCCTGACGTACTACTTTCCTTTGCACTTACTGATGTTGATAGTCATTTGATCAAGAAGTCTTATTTCTATTTAGTGAAAAATGATGAAATTTGTTTGTTGTGGGTGAAACTAAATAAACGAATTTAGCAGAGATGTACTGATGAAAAAAATTCAACTATTATGTGTGAGTAGCTGAATCTGTAGTGATTGTAATCCATTTCAGTTTTAATGCTCTCTTTTCTCTTTTTATTTTATTTTATGAAGGCATGGATGCTATTGCATGTATAAAATCAGTAAAATCAATTTAACATAAAATAAAATATAACTCCAAAAATTCCTGACATTTTTATTTATAAGTTGATTCAATGAAATGGATTAAAATAGAGCTAAAATGAATTAAAGATTAATACTGCAGGAAAATCAAAATCGCGTATCAAACAATGAAAGCATACATCGAATGCTCATTGTGTGCAGGCTAAAGAAGAATGAATAACAGAAATTGAAATAAAAATTTAGAACACATACATGCTGTTGACCTTGATAATAGGTTTATCATTCTCATTAAAGTGTTCTCTAAATGGAATTTTTGCTCTCCGCATTCACAAACCTCGTATACTCGTTGTCTATGTTTCAAGTTGATCATACGGTTTTGTATTACAAATGTTTGCTAATGATATCCTGGGTTCGCACATAACTTCATGATCTTTTAGCTTAGAAAGGTTCATTGATAGAGACATGTTTTCGTTCATGGTGAACTTGTGATAGCATCACAAATGACGGCCAAGATTTTCACAATTGGTTGCTGTAAATTTAATTATTAACAAATAGTTCCCGAAAACCAAGTCTAAATCGTCCATGTTAGGTTCAGGACTTAACGTTTAGTTTCGGCATTGCATAGAATAAGAAAAAAATGCTTTACGAGATTTCTGAATTTTATTTTGAGTGGTTTGATGTTATACTAGCACAAAAATCAATTGACAAACATTTGCCTAGGCTTATAAATGGGGTCAATGAGAACCTTTAATCGATTTTGAGTTAGGGCAAACTAGGGGAGTAAATAATTCCTGAAGTTCGAGATTAATCATTTCATGTTATGTTGCGAACTTGTAGAGTTCTACTGTAGGGATTTGACTGATGCACTTACCAAGCCTTATGCATTACAATAATGCTCCTTGTACACAGTTTTACTACCGCTTTGTGCATAGCAATTCAAAATCGCTGACGTGGCGGCTTAAAAGTTTGCAACTTAAGCAAACCAATTCATTTGAAAAAACCTCCAACTAAACTTGCTGTGCTAGTGACTTCATGTACGGCCACATCCTTCCACATTCTGCCAATGTTAACACATGAAAATCGTGTACAGCTATATCCTTCGACATCCCGCTACTGTTAACCCACTCATGAAAATCTCCGACATATCCCAATATAGAACACGATAGCGACCACGATGGCGACCGCCACATATTCGACGAAAATTAGATTTTTGAAGCCAACTGGAGGGGATTCACGTACTTTAGAAGCAGTTGAGTGTCATAGGGGTCGCAGGAATGATGAAGAAAGGTTATTTCCATAATATTTTGAATTTGTAGTGTTTGAAAATCGAGTCAAATTTGGTATGATTCTAAAATTAATTTTGGTAATTTGGTCTGATTCTAATATTTCTTATTGTTTGACATCTCATCTCATTTCTAATATTTTTGAAATCAAATCTTCATTAACATATTAATGATATTGGAAATTTAATCTTTTTGTAATGCTGATCATGTTCCCATTCAATACGTTGTACGAAAAGAACTAGTAGAAGTATCAAATGACGAAGTTTTCATAGAATCCAATAATAAGAGCAATACCCAAAATATTAGCACATTGGAAGATGATATCTTAGGAGAAGATGGTGTGATTGTGCCGGAGGTGAGTATGAAGTTCAAAGACGAAAAAGAGTTGTTCGAATTTTACAAAAGGTATGCATATGATGTAAGTTTCCAGTTAGGAGAAGGAATTCTAGAAAGTGGGAGGATGGATTGTTTGAAATCGCAACAAACAATTCAGACAGGTTGCAAAGCAAGGCTGACCGCTTCTTCAGATATTCGTGGAATACGGTTGGAATTCCTTTATACAAGAGTTACAATTCTACATTTGTTAAAGCGGGTGGGTATGAGAATATCACTTGCATGAAAAGGGATTGTCAAAATTATGTTGAACAAGTGAGGTGATTGAGACTCAGAGAAGAAGATGTCGCGGTAATACAATCCTACTTTTCACAAATGTAAGCACAATGATTGGGATATTACTTTTGTATAGATTTAGACGAAGAGCTGCGGCTTTAGAGTCTTTTTTGGGTAGATAATAGGTGTAGGCTAGCATATAATGAGTTTGGGGATGTAGTGACTTTTGAATACTCTTATCTTACTAATAAATATGACATTCCTTTTGCTCCCTTTGTTGGAGTAAATCATCACTGACGGTTAACACTTCTTAGACAAGATTTGCTATTAAATGAAGATACAGATATATTTGTGTCTAGTCAAGACATGGATATAGTGCATGTATAGTTAGGCTCCTAATGGAATTATTACCGATCAAGATAGGACCATGCAAAATGCAATTGAGACATTCTTTTTAAATACGAGGCATAAATGATGTTTGTGAAAAGTTTGGGTACCACATTGACAAAGGCTCAATTTTTCGTCTTTACACAAATTTGTGTATGATACACAAGTTGTTGAAAAATTTGAAGAAGGTTGGAGAATTATGCTCAATAAATGTAACTTACATGATAATGAATGATTGTCGGGGTTGTATGAAAATAGGGGTTGTTGGGTGCCATGTTATTTGAAAATGACTTCTTAGGCTGAGATGTCAACAACTCAACGTATTGAGAGTATGAATGTGTTCTTTGATAGGTATGTGCATTTTAAGACATCGTTGAAGTAGTTCGTTGAACTATACGAATGAGTATTACGAAATAAAGTTGTAAAGGAATTCCAAGTAGATTTTAAATCTTACTTGCAGATGGTACCCAGTGCAACAAAATATGAAATGAAAAAATAATTTCAAGCAATTTATACAATCTTGAATTTCGGGAATTTAAGGATGAGATAATTGGAAAGGTTTCAAAAAAGACGTATGAAGTTGAGGAGGATGTCATTTACGAAAAAAGAGGAAGAAAAGTTCTCTATTACATTCGTGCAGGGGAATGTGATATTATCTACAGTTGTCACTTGTTTGAGTGTTATGGAATTTTGTATAGACATGCTATATCGGTGTTGATGCGTAATGGTGACACATCATTACCGGAGATGGGCATATTGAGGAGATGGAGAAGAGATGTTAGTAGAGCTTACACGAGTTTTGCTATGAGCTATGATGGTCTGCTTAGCACTCCTAGCCAATTGAGATGCGGTAGAATGTGTGAAGTGTTCACTACGTTGGAAAACATTACCGCAGATGATAAAGATCGAACTCGTGTGATAATAGATTGGATTCGATTGCAATCTAAAGACACTGTGTCTATGAAGTTGAGTTGTGGAAGTACTAGAATTTCGCAACTTAGTTTGCATTTAGGCTCATAGTCTAGAGCATCACATTATACAGGCAGTGCATACAAGATCCTAAATACTCAAAAAAGAAGAGTGCGCCAAAGAAACTACGTGTTAATGGCTTAGTGGAGTTGAGCTAGAAGAGTAATTTTAATTTCAAAATATTTTTTCATCTAAGTCCCACATTTGTCCAAACAAATATAAAATATCAATTATTCCCATGTCATGTAGGCAAAATCAACTTCAAGCAAAGGACTGAGATCAAGGGCGTAGACCCTGCAACAAGCACAATATTTGATGCTCACACCGTTCTCATATTTGGAAGTTTGTAAGTATTCTTTATTGGTCAATGTATCGGAGGTATGTTTGTAATTCAATTTTCATGTCATGTAGGGTGACATGGAAAGTCATGCACTAACACATCAATTGCCATCTTCAAATTTCATTCCCGCATTAACTTCATTTTACCTACTAGTTAATGTAATTATATGGTTTCAAATGTATATTTAGTAAATTTTGATGTTAACATCTTCCATTTCTAATGTTTATGTTAGGCAATGCCAAACCATACTACTATCTCAATTTTCCATACAATGCTGGAACACAATTGGATGTCGTTAAGGAGACATTGAGACACTCCGCAATGGGTGTTTTCCCTTGGGGATTTCATACTGTAAGCCGTCCTTTTTTCAATACGAACGCTAATTTCATTTTCTTCTCCAATTAACTTGCTATAACATTATGAATGCAGCCATTCCAACCGTTGCCTCCTACAAGTGCCATAGCAGGTTGGATGTCAAGTCCTTCAAGTCTTGTTGAGATATCAAGTTCTCGAATGGCTTATCAAGCTGCTGTAATTGGTCTTGCAATGACCTCTCTAACTGCTGGTTCATTAATGATACCACTATGTTGTAGTACTCCGAAATTTTATGCACGTTTAATTTGCTCATTTAATTTTTAGGCTAGCAATTTAACTTTTCAAAAATTTAGTATGGCCAAGATTATTAATGGTTGCCAAATTTGCATTGGTCGATTTATTAAAAGTTTACCAAGATTAGTTAATTAGGGGTTTAGAATAATAGTCAAATTCTATACCTTTTACATTAATATATTTTCCCTTTGTTTCTATCACTTTGCCGCCATCTTGTAGAGGATTAATGCAATTAACTAATGCATGGACAAGTGGGAATACAAATTAAACCATTTCTCTCATTTTTTATATACACACATATGCAATATACATATATAAATGCAGATGGACGGCAGATTAGAGAAGAATTCAAGTAAGATTTAACTAATGCATGCATGGGTTGTTAATTGTTGAACAAGTAGGAGGTGTCAAGCTATCTTTGTAGTAACATGCATGGATGAGGTGGTTTAAGCAGGTAGGAGGTGTTAAATTATGGCACAACCTGACCTTAGGTGTTGAGTTAAGTTTATGAAATACATGCATGCAACCACGTGTAGATGTAGGCACCAATTTTGGTTAATTATCTTCACTTTGCTTCTATATATGTATAACCGAGAGATGAGCAGCCAATATATCTTTGCAAAGTCAGAATTTTTATGGAGAGATAGAGAGAAAATCGGCAGGAAGAAAGGAAGGAAAAAAAAAGAAAAGGAAAACAAAGCCTACACTCTCAAGTTCTTGTTTTTCAACCGAAGTTTCTCCAAGTTTTATTGTAAGATACTTTCTTTGCTTAAGTGGTAGGATTTCATGGTAATATTTATGCCTAAGCTATGCATGAAAAACCATAATATGAATGTGTGGACAAGTCCACAAAGTTAGATATCTATGCCTTAGGACAAGTCCGAAGGGCACCGGCAAGCCGGAATGTGCAAGTATGTGTTTGATCGCATTCTTTTGTGTAATATTAACATATTAAATCCAAGCATGGTATCTTACTGAGTATTCTTTATACTCATAGTATCCTATACTAAATTTTCAGATGCATAGATGTGAAGTTGGTGGAAGTCAGTCGGTATAATCGATGATGGATTAAGGACGAAGGTTATTTTGCATCGAAGTTTTGTTTTTGCATGTTTGTTCGACTGCTCTCCAAATGTTTTTCTTATGATTTTGTATAAAAACTTGTATAAGACATGATCTACTATGGTACCGGAAGTAAATTATGTAATTATATCTTCCATGTTATGTTAAGAGACGTTTTTATAAACCTTTTTCTTGAATGATAAAAAAGGGCAGAATCCGGGCAGTTTCTGGGTCATCTTCAAAACATTATTTCTAACTCTATAGACATCCATTTGAGAATCTAAAAATACTGCTGCGTTCGTCTTTGAGTTGTCTAAATATGGGCTCAAGAATCACTCAATTTGGATGTCCGTTGCCCGAGATATGAATTTTTAAACGTAGAAGAGTCAATCTGGATTTTCTGTGCAACACTACACTGTTTTCAGTAAAACGTCCATACTATATGATCTCGGAAAATTCTCATATTTTAACCTAGGAAACTACTTGAAATTATCTTTCTAATGCCGAAAATTTCATAGAAAACGGAGTTGGGATGAATTTTATAAAAATAGTTGAACTTGCTGCTCTAACTAACTGTGGCAGTACCGAGTCCTTTTTTGTAAAGTTTAATTCCACGTCGACATGCACTTCTGCTGGCCATTAAATTTCATGAGAGATATTTTACCAAATTGAAAATAGTTTTCTAACATGTAATACTTCTATTTAAGAGTATCTACATATACCAAAGGCAGAAGTTACTATGTTTAGTACGTGACCCCCGAAGCCTAAGTTCGGGGCGTCACATATGTAATCTGTGTAAATCATCTTAATAGGTGGGTATGAAAGTGAATTGTATAGGATATAGTAGCAATTCATGGTGCAATAGCTCACTATATAGAGCTCGTCTATGGTCCTTGACAAAATGAATAAGATTTTCCTATCACGTTACTGTAGTAAGCATTTTTTTTTTTTTTTGGTTCATTTGGAAAATATCTTATTGTTTAAGCTACATAATTACGGTTATTGAAATGGAGAGTTCAGCCAAATAGTTGAGGTTTGTGATAATTGTTCTATCAATTTGCAAGGATTTCACCAGCCTACTCACTTGCAGTTCCAACCATCAATTAACTTATAGTAATTCCTGTAGCTTCACCAGTAACAACACTAACCATGCAAAGCACATTTTTTATGCATGTAAACAATAGACACAGAGGGACAACATAAAAATAGAATGATATTGATACAACAATAGACTTAATCATTTGTTAAACATCATCACAAGTTTGCTAAAAATCAAGCTCCACATCAAAATGGTGGAATACATACATATATACTTGTGTGATTACAAACAGTTAGAAAGAGTTTAGATTTACAATTCCAAACGATCACCACGTAGAAACCATTCATCACCATCCTAATACATCAAATTTTAGATTACATTTCCTGAAACTTGTTTCCTTTTGCGTATATTTATTTGGAGCGAAATCTCCAAGTCATTTTCCTTGCTTAGCTTAGCAAGCATTTTCAACATGTGCGACAAATCATCCTCATGTTCACCTCCATTTGTAATGCCAATTGATTCACCATCATCATGCAATGGACACTCTTCGTAGGGGAATTTTTTACACCACTTGAAGTACCTACAATCACAAGTAGAATATTGAAACAACAACTTTTGTGGTCATTGTTCTTTTCGACTTCTACCCATTTGACGAAGCCCTTACCACAATTTGGGTATCTTCTCTTTTTTAGGCATGCTGGCAGCATACGTCCTCTCTGTCTACAACAATGACATATTCTATATTCTTGCCTGCCATCGAACTAATCTAATTCAACCATATTGAACAACAACATCAACATGTAAGCATATCTATAACGTCCCAAATTTTATGGACTTAAATATTGACGTATTACCAATATCATTTCGTAATCATACATCAAGTGGAAATATAAATTGGAAACTTAAAAATCTTAATCTATTTGAACACCCAAATACTAAATTCAATAAACATAATGTCGCGTAACATTTTTTAATGAAAATAAATAGAAACACAAAAATATCCTAACATAATTATTTTTAAATGTTTTCCTAAAAAATTTTACTTGACAACCCTCGCACCGCTCAGCCACCATCCAAGTTGACGGATCTAACCTGAAATGTTAAAATTGAAGGAATGAGTAATTTATATTCAGTAAGATATGTGCATAACAATATAACAACTTTTTAAACATAAATTTATAACATTTCATACCATCATTTCATTAAGAGCAATTAGTGATCAATCGAATGCTCTAACACATTTCTGTACCACAATTGAAAAAGTTTGAAGGAAATCTCACATTTCATTTCATAAGGAATCGCAAGTCAATTAGCATTTCATGAAATAAATGACGTAAAAAATTATAATATTGCAAGGATAGATCAACTTGCACATAGTATCATACCTTGTTAGATCAACAAATTTTCGAAAGAATAATCCAAAAGAATATTCCAATTTCCAAAGTTCCTTGACTGCCTTAAACGTAATTATTGATGGAGAATTACTTTTTGCTATGAAAAATATGGGACTAAAATTTAACTTTATAGTTTAAAAAAAGTCTTGGTGCATTGGGAATTGAGAAGCCGTGAACCACTTGCCAAATTAGGATAAATCTAGGTTTCAATGTTTGGATTATACTTTCATAATAACTCATAATCATCCACAATGACACGTGGAGTTGAATTTGAAGACTAATTTTAGATTTGTAATAATGAAGTCTAAACCAAATAGGGTTATCATTTGACTTTTAATCTTTTTGAAAAATGTAGGATAACCTAAACTAGTCTACATCGGGGCTGTAGTAGTTATAATTAAATTGGAACCTATCAATTCTGAAATTTGCTCCTGACCGTGGTTCAGAACTTTATCAACTTCCTAATTCACAATAATTAACTATTAGACAGATGAAGTTATCCCTTAATGTATTTAAATAAATTATTTCTAGTCAAAAAGTAAGGTAATCATTACATTTGCAGCAAAAGGGTTGGAATGGCCGTGTCCCATAAGCAAAGTGATAGGAGTTGATGGGATAAAATAAAGATAAATTACATTATATAATATTACCTTGCAAAATTATATGCAACACGTGTACACGTAGGGAAAAAAACTGACTTTGATATAATTGGTTTTAAATTAAAAATAGAATTTGGATATGATTCAATCTTTATCAAATTAAAGATAAACGTGATTATCTATTATAATCTTTTGCTAATTATCTTAAAAAGTACATTATTAATAAAAAATTACTTATTAAATATGTTTCCTTGAATTGAAATAAATTGGGCTTAACTTACATGACATTATATTTTCTTAAGCTCAACATACATTATTTTATTCGGACTACAAAATGAGCCCGATATTGATATACTGAATCTCACTCTATAAAAGTCTACTTTTATTTACCCAAAGATATAAGAATGTAAAACATATTTTCACTTTAAATTCCTCCACTATAAAGATATTCATAATGATCTAACTTAAATCTTAGGTATAGTTAATTGACTTGCCTAAAAACTTGACTAGACCAAATTTCTATTCCATAAAATTTCAGGGTGTCACAATCTCACTCCCTTAAGGTAATTTCATCTTTGAAATTTGTTATCCGAGTGAAAAGTCTAAGATATCTTACCTTGGTCTCATCTTCTCCAGACTTTTGAAAAATTTCCTTCTTTTTAGAGCATCATATAGTTGCCCAAATATTTACCAACCAATACATTTCTAAGATGGCATTTAAAAAATAAAAAAAGAAAAAAGAAAAAGAAAAACTTCATCTCTAAAAGGTATATGTTAGCTACACATTCTTTTCTATTTTGACCACTCTATCTATTTGATTTGTATTAAGTGTACTGTTAATGGGATAGTAACTTCCAAAACACTAATGGCTTCTTCTCAAATAATACGAGATTTAGCAATGAAAACAGTATAAACAAAGAATGAGCAACTCCTGAGTATATAAGAACATAAGCAAGCAGTTCAGATATTGATAGAATACCTGCCATCATATCCTAATTCTCAATTGCTTCTCATTGGGTTAAAGCCTTTAGCTGGTCTCTTTTTGCTTTGTTTGTTGTCCCTCTTTAGTGGGGGGCAATTGGTAGAATGACCATGCTTTTCACATCGATAGCATACATTCTTTCCATATAAACACTCGTCTCTATGGTCTTTATTGCACTTAGGACATGGAGTAAGAACATTATTTGGCTTACCTGGCCCTGACCACGTTTCAACACTAGCCCTCTTATTTTGTCCATTTCCTTTACCTTCATTTGCCCTATTCTATTTCCCCTTTCCGAAAAATTCAGTACTTTCTTGAGTTGTCTGATCAAGTTCTAGTCAATTTGCAATTGCTTAAGCTCGTTGTAGAACCTGACTATACATGGTGAATTCATCAGATGCCAAAATCCTCCAATTTTTGGGTGCAATCCGAGTTAGAATCTTCTAGCTTTCTTTTGCTCTGTATCCACTAGATGTGATGCAAACCCGATTAGCAAGGTTGCAATCGAACCCACAGGATATTGAATCGGATCCCAAGAACGCCAATATGACCAAGGTTTATGGATCTGACCCCAAAATAGTGAACCAAGCAACCCAACAAGAACGGTGCTGTGAAGGACCTCTTGATCACACGACTGAAGAAATCACACCCGGATTGTAGATTTGAACCAATAAAAGATTAACCAAAAAACCCAATGATAACGATGACGTGAAAGAGGATTACACAATTCAATGATTCAAGCCGATGTTTTGAACGCCACAAGATGATTAGTCTTGATAAGTTCGGATTTGTCCATTCAAGAACAAAGATAAATGAAGCAAAGCTTCAAGAGAGAATTCTCTAATTTCATAATAAAAGTCTTGTATTACAATTATGAAAGAAAATCCTATTTATACTAGACATATAGAAAAATAATTAAAGATAAAAATAAACTCCTAAAATATGGAAAAACCGTGTGCTAAAGTCCTAATAATATTAGAGTTTCCAAAAATAAGAAATTCAACCAATTAAAACACTTCGCGAGAAAATGAAAGATTTCGCCTCTGTTTAGTGCTATGGGACAGCATGGCACAATTTAGTGCGGTCGCATGGTTGTTCCGAATGCTGCCGAAAAATTCCCTGTTTGCTTCTATGCGATCGCAAAGGTTGGAAGCTATGCGATCGCACAACCTTTGATTTTGGCTCCGTCTTCGGCTGTAATTATCGAGCTAATCCTAATTGAATTAGGCTTCGGCCCCTTCATCAAATTTACTCCTTGACACGTGAACTTCATGGTTTTAGACTCCGTTGCTCGAATACATAAGTGACCAATTTTATTAGCTACTTGGAAGTCTCGACTTGGCTCGGTTCTTGACTTCGACCTTCTCCAATCAATTAATGAATTCTTGGAAATTGATGGTGCACCCGGGATCATATCAAGATGTGTTACATACCTAGAAAGTTGTTCGAACTTCCTCTCATAATCAACTGATGACACCTTTCCCTACTTAAGTTGCAGAAACCCTGTTTCCTTACGATCTCTCAAAGCTTGTGGAAAATATTTTTCAATCACCTCCTCTTTGAAACATGCCCAAGTGAGGTTATGTTGTTGTGCCTCAGTCCTAATGCATGAAATGAACTCCCACCAGTGGGCTGGTGCATCAACTAGCATGAACTCCGCACATAAAACGTTTTGGGCATAGAGATGCTTGAAGATCCATTCCGAACCCTTTATCCATTCTTCGGTTGCCAAAGGGCCAGCCATCTCTTTAAAGGTAGGGGCTTGTAACGATGAAACTCTTCCAGGATTGAGCTCATAGTGCTAGAGTTAGTCTGTATATTTTGATAAGGCACTTGCATTTGCTGCCTACCAAGATCTTCCAAAACTCAACAAATCCCTAAACATAGTAGCTTGTGTTGGTTGACGTGCTATTTCCTTTAAATGAACCAAATAAAATTCGTTTTAGAAATAGTCAACACAGCTCAATATATTCGAATGAAGAACTCAATTTCATAAAAGTTTTAAAATCCTAGAATACATTAGGGATGATTGAAAGAAGAAAAACCTATGAATTAGTTCAAGTACTGATTACATTTTTTTTTTTTTGGAAGGGAAGACATTATTTATCTAAACTAAACTATCTCTAGGTTGTTAGTCTTCATCTTCGCTTGTCCAAACATTTTGAATACTATGAAGCTTAAATGGAGGGGCTTCATCATCTAAAGATATACATGACTCGGGCTTAGATTCATGGTCAACCCCTAGATTAAGGTCTAGTTTGAACCCTAGCTTTTGCTCCGGTTCTAGTTTTGGCTGTAGTCCTGGTACATGCTTCGGCTCGTTCTCTTGCACTGAATTAGGTTCATAATTCGGCTCCTCTTCCTGGTCTTCATCAGGGTTTTCCTCTAGGTCCTCATCTGGCTCGAGTTCGGGCTCGAGAGTAGAAATCCACCTATCTAAAAAAGTTTCATAGTATAGCTCGAACTTGATCCTTTTTGAGTGCTCTACAGGTTTACCCACTAGCATTTCGTCCCTAACAAAAATGCCTATGTCTCTCCATTGACAGGGCTGTGTATGGATAAAATTGTTAACAGCTTGAAGGAGTGCAGTATCATGTCCTACACCCCTTGTTGCAGGCTACCTAGCAAAGACTTCCTCCACATGCTTAATAAGTGTGTGAGTCAGGTCTACCTCATAATTCTCGTAGGCTTGGATAACTGTTGTCCCATGGTTTAGAATAGTCCTACAAGCCGTTGTCTTTCTAGCGGTCTCTCTCGTTCTAGCCATGATTGTCACATACAAGCAAAGTCTAGTTATGCTCAATATTTTATTAGTGATAACATATTGCCTTTTATGCTTGCATGATTCATTATAAAGATAACATATAATATTATGCCCCTATTAAAATTTGATTAAAAGTATGTGAGAAAATAATTAATAAATGGAAGCAAATATATTTAACATCATGCTTCAATTTATACTAGAATATAACATTTCATTTCATTCCGACCATTTCTCAAGTTAAATATAAGAATGCATATCTCATGCACACGGTAAAAAATTTAAATAAAACATACTACGCAATGCCTTTGGTCCATCAGATGGTAGTTGATTAGTGAATGTTAGATGCCAAGAACTTTGTTAAAATTCTTGTTTCTTAAAATTTTTATCATAAATTTCATTTCTTGCTAATGGCTTGCCGATATGTGAATACAAAAAGAATTTATGAAGCTTTGTACTTTGATTTATGCGTATAGATAATGGATGCAAATGGTAGCTTGGAAATTTTAACATATTGTATACTAACTTGCTGAATTTTAAAATTTAAAAGATAAATTCGTGAATGTGTATGCATGATAGTGACTAACCTCCTTTATTATTATTTTTTTATAGGATACAAAACATCTCTCGAAAGAAGGGCTAATCCAGTAAATATGTATAGTTTAAAACATGGCAATAACAAAATAGCAGTTTAACTCTAAACGGTCATAAATTTTAAATCCATCAAAAAATGTTATTATTTTAAATCAATTTAATAATTAAAACACACAAATATCCAATATCAAACTTTTAAGAAAATAAAATTTGCCAGTATTTTTTTTTATAGAAAAAAGTGTCTATAGAAAGGTAGAATTGTGCTCTGATATCATATTGTAACGCCCCAAATTTTATGTACTTAAATTTCGAGGTGTTGCCAATATCATTTCATAATCATACATCGAGCAGAAATATAAATTGGAAACTTAAAAATCTTAATTTATTTGAATACTCAAATACTAAATTGAATAAACATAATGTCACGTAACATAGAACATTTAATGAAAATAAATAGAAACACAAAATATTCTAATAGAATTATTTTTAAATGTTTTCCTAAAAAATTTTACTTGGCAGTCCTCGCACCGCTCAGCCACCATCCAAGTTGACCAATCTAACCTGAAATGTTAAAATTGAAGGAATGAATAATTTATATTCAGTAAGATGTGTGTAACAATATAACAACCTTTTAAACATAAATTTTTAACATTTCATGCCATCATTTCATCAAGAGCAAACAATTAAAAAAAAATCGAAAAAAATCTCACATTTCAATTCATAAAGACCCACAGGCCAATTAGTATTTCATGAAATAAATGACGTAAAAAATTATAATATTGCAAGAACAGATCAACTTGCACATAGTATCCTACCTTGTTAGATCAACGAATTTTTGAAAGAATGATCCAAGAGAATATTCTAATTTCCGAAGTTCCTCGCCTGCCTTAAACGTAATTATTGATGGAGAATTGCTTTTTTGCTTTGAAAAATATGTGACTAAATTTGAATTATGCAGGATATTTATAGTTTCAAAAAAGTCCAGTGCATTAAAAATTGAGAAGCTGTGAACCACTAGTCAAATTTGGATAAATCTAAGTTTTAATATTTGGACTATACTTTCATAATAGCTCATAATCATCCACAATGACATATGGAGTTGAATTTGAAGACTAGTTTTAGATTTGTAATAATGAAGTCTAAACCAAATAGGATTATCCTTTGACTTTTAATCTTTATCGAGAATATAGGATAACTATTAACCATTAACTATTAATTTAACTATTAACATTTTTCTTCTGCACGTGAAACGTGGCTGGAGGTGGGAATTATATATATAAATTTGGGTTAGTTCATTTGGGAGTAAGATGTTATAACCCAAATAACTACCTAAACTATCTATATCAGGGCTGTAGTAGTTATAATTAAATTGGAACCTATCAATTCTGAATTTCTCTCCTGGCTCTGGTTTGGAATTTTATCAACTTCCTAATTCCCATAATTAAATATTAGATAGATGGAAGTTATCCCTTAATGTATTTAAATAAATTATTTCTAGGCAATCATTACATTTGCAGCAAAAGGGTTGAAATGGCCGTGTCCCATAAGCAAAGTGATAGGATTTGATGGGATAAAATTAAGAAAAATTACATTATATCATATTACCTTCCAAAATTATGTCCAACACGTGTACATGTAGGGAAAAAAACTGACTTTGTTATAATGGGTTTCAAATTAAAAATAAATTTTAATTTGTACTAGGATTCAACTTAAGTCTTACTTAAAGGGAATGTTATGAGTTCGAATCTTGGGAGATGCGACAGAAAGTCGTGAGGGGTAAGTGGACGCAAGGCCCACCCAAAGCGGATAATACGTAAGCTAACGGCTTGGGTACAGAGACCCGAGTCGTTACAAGTCCAATTGGTATCATGATTCAACCTAAGTCTTAATTAAGGGGAAGTTATGAGTTCGAAACCTGGGGGACGCGAAAAAAAATTGTGAGGGGTAAGTGTGTGCAAAACCCACCCAAAGCGGACAGTACGTAGGCTAAAGACTTGGGTATAGAGACTCAGGTCGTTACAGAATAAGTATTATGTTATAGTTCAGGCGGCGATCGAAGGTGGTGATTATTTTGGTTGTCACCTGGAATTATGGAGGCATTACTATACACTAAACTGTAATGTGTATTGTACATGAATTGTATGAATCATAGACGGTTGACATCTAGTAAAGTGAAGATGCTTCATCATCTAGCATGGTTGCATGATTCAATGAGACTATTGCTTGTTTCAAGGTGCATGTCTTTATTTAAGTTGCATGACGTACTCGCTTGATCTAACCCATTTGTATTCAATGGATTGGATCAAGGTTAAAATCCTGAATGGTCACCAAACTTTGCCCGAAGTCCCCTAGGAGGTCACCGAACTTCAAAACGTCCCTAAGTGGTCACTGAACTTTGCCTGAAGCCCCCAAGAGGTCACCAAACTTCAAAACATTCCTAGATGGTCACTAAACTTGTAAAAAGTTCCTAGGGGGTCACTGAAGTTTGCAAAATTGGGACCCCATTCATGTTTGCAAAGTTCAGTAATTTGCAAACTTCAGTGACCCCCTAGGAACTTTTTGCAAAGTTCAGTGACCATTTAGGAACGTTTTAAAGTTCGGTGACCCCTTGGGGGACTTCGAGCTAAGTTGAGTGACTACTTAGGTACATTTTGAAGTTCAGTGACCATTTGAGGTTTTTTCTTGATTGGATCAGTTAATATAAGTATGATCATGATCAATGTAGATGAGATCAAAAGGCTAGAGCCTGTTTACAGAAGCTATAAATATGATTTCCTTTTAGAAATTAAAACTTGCAGATGACCTCTTTAATACCTAATCCCCTATTGAGTATCCATTAAACTGGATATAGCTTGATTGCACTATAAGCCTTAAAACTGACAACGAAGGTTACAAAGTTAAACTTGTACATAGAAATGGTTTTAAGAGACTTGTCTCTTTTACAAGAATCACACAAGAAACCTCAAATCTCTTCTCTGAAAATATAGCACAATAATGCTCTCACTCTTACTATTTTCACTCAAGAAAATACAAGTATCAAAAGGCTAGAAAACATCATACCACCGTCTCGAATGAGATGTTCAAGAGAAAGAATCACGGATTGAAATCCTAGCCAACGAGAGTCAAAACTCTCTAGAACTCTCTCTCTCTCTCTCTCTAAAAGCAGAACGAAGGATACAACATGTCCAAATTTAACTGGCATCTAAGGAATATAACTACTACATTCAATGTGCCAAATCAAACTCTCAAAACTTGGACATATGTCACCATCCAGTTAAGTGATCCCACTAACAAAAATGAGTTTCTAAAAATATGCTTTTACTTTGAAAATTAGAAAGCATACCAAACTGAGTTCGATTCTCAACATTCTCTACCTTACTATCTTAATTTTCAGGTTATAGTGCAGTCATGAGCATATCATCATTTTCATATTTCATTTGCTCCAAGTACCTGTAAACATCACAAAGTATTAATAGATAATATCTTCCAAAAAATTTGGAATTTGTCTAGATGTATTATCTTTGTTCTTATATCAGAAGGGTTAAATTGAGCAGCAACATTGCCAATCTTCAAAATTTCTTTTGAAATTATATCTCTAATTAAATGACATTTAATGTCTATGTGTTTAGTCGTATCATGAAACATGGGGTTTTTGCTCAATTTTATAGCACTTTGGTTATCAGAATACAAAATTGTATTTTCATCAACAAAATCAAGTTTTTTTAGTAGTCCACTTTACCAAATACCTTCTTTAAAGGCATCAGAAGCAACAATGTATTCTACTTTAGTTAAGGACAAAGCTACAATCTTTTGAATTTGAGATTTTCAACTAAGTACGGTATTGCATGAGGTAAAGAAATAGGATAAAGTTGATTTTCTATTATCCATATTTCCTTCAACATTAGAATCAGTAAAACCCTTTAAAGTTACCCCTTCTTTATTCATTTTAAATACAAGACCATAGTTTGATGTACCTTAGATATCTTAAAGGCCATTTTAAAGCATTCCAATGTTTTTCCCTAGTGTTACTCATAAATCTACTAAGTATGCTAATACTAAAAGTAAGATCAAATCTGGTACATACTATCAAATGCATGGCAAATCCAATCACATTAGCATAAGGGATTTTTGACATTCTATTAAATTCCTCATTATTTTTAGGATAGAATTCAGTTGAAAGCTTAAAATGATTAGCAAGTGGTAGGGTCACAGTTTTGCAGTCAAACATGTTAAATTTTTTCAAAATTTTATCCACATAGTCATGTCGATTTTAAAATATCCTATCTTTTTCTTTCTTTCTAAAAAATCTAATTTCCAAGGATCTTTTTGGTAGCCCGAAGATCCTTCATATCAAACTCAAATTTAAGTTTTTGTTTGATGTACTCAATTTCAGATTTACCACAACTGGCAAGTAGCATTACACCACATAAAGTACTAAGTAAAGAGAATTTTTACCTCTTTTACCTATACAATAAAGACATGTATTATAATTGCTTCTTTGTTAATCAAGTTTCAAGACAAAAGTGTCAAATCTTTTGTACCATTGTATCCGTGCTTATTTTAAACCATAGAGAGATTTCTCCAATAGACACACAACATTTTCAGAATCATCTTTATGAAACCAACAGGTTATCTCATATAGAATTTTTCATCTAGTCACAACAAAGAAAAGCAATTTTGACATCCAACTGATTAAGTTTACATTTAAATTGAGAAATAAGGGCGAGAATGCATCTAATAGTGGTGTATTTAACAATAGGGAAGAAAATTTCATTATAGTTTATACCCTCTTTTTGTGTAAAACCTTTTGCTACAAGTGTAGCCTTGCATCTAACATTTTTATTTTCTCTTTCCCTTCTTTTATTTTGTAAATTCACTTACAATCATTTAGTTTATGATTCTTAAGCTTTTCAACCAGTCCCAAGTGTTATTTCTAAGGAGTGAAGAAATTTTATCTTTCATAGTAACTATCCAATTATGATAGTCTTTACAATTAATGGCATCATCACAGTAGTCTAGCTCATTTTCAAGTTGTTCTTGACATGTAAAGAATGAAACAAAATCATCACAATCAAATCTAACTGGTGGTTTGATCTTCCTTCTCTCCTTTTCGCTTGCAAGTTGATATTCATCAAGGGGATCAGGTTGATCACTAAAACCAGTGATTTGATTGTTTTTAGTTTCAATTGAGATGATATTTTCATTAGGATTAGTTTAGTCAAATCAAAGAACAGAAGTGTCTCTCTCACTATGAGGAATCTCTACTTCAATTTGAACATCTTTTTCAGTTAAGTTATTTTGTTTTCCTTCTAAACATGACATAATAAACTTATTAAAAATAATATCTTTTCTAACAATTAATTTGTACCTTTTTCACATTTAACCTATAATCTATAGCTTTTCACTTTTTCACAATAACCCAAGATGACACATTTAAGTGATCGACGTTCTGATTTTCCAATATTTTGGTGAGCATATGTAGCACAACCAAATATTTTTAGGTGAGAATAATCAACAGGATTTTTAGACCAAATAGATTTATGAACATCCAAATTTAAGGCATTAGTGGGAGTTATATTAACAAGATATACAACAATTTTTACATCTTCACACCAATGTAATCAGTTAAACCTGAACTAAAAAGCATGTATCTTACTTTGTATAATAAAGTTCTATTCATTCTCTTAGTTATGTCATTTTGTTAAGGGGTATCAGTAACTGTTCTATGTCTTAATATGTCACTCTTTACAAGAACTGTTGAATTCATAATTGCAAAATTTCAAACCATTATTAATTCTCAAAATCTTCATCTTATGATTAGTTTGGTTTTCAATTTGTGTTTTCCAATATTTAAAAATAGAAAAAGTTTCATCTTCTGACTTTAATAAAAAAAACCCAAATTTTCCTTGAAAAATCATCAATAATCAGAAGATAATATTTGAAGCTAGATAGGGTGCACAAAAGCAAGACCCTACAATCTGCATGCACATACTCAAGTATTGGTTTGGATCTATGAATTCCATG